CTGAGGTCCACTACCAGGATGGACCCCACCACCCTGCTGAGAGCCACCACGGTGGACCCCGCCACCATGCTGAGGTCCACTATCAGGATGGACCCCACCACCATGGTGGACCCCGCCACCATGCTGAGGCTGATCACCATGGTGGACCCCACCACCATGCTGAGACCCACCACCACAGTGGACGCCTTCACCAAGATGAGTCCTACCTCCCCACTGACCATCATCACTACAGGGAGGCTTATGATGGTGGGTACCATCACTATGCTTCCCAACACAGTGGACACCATCATCATGAAGCCCACAGAAAGCCTCCATACCACGGAGAGAATGAGCTCGACCTTCCCTATATGGATCCCTACATGCATGACATCCCTCAATACCACAGTCACCACAGGGAGCATCACCACAAGGATCACCACCACAGGGAGCACTACAGTAGTCCATATTATCCTGATTACCTCCACTATGAGCCCTATGGGGAGCACTACTATGGTCCTTCTGGAATCTTCAGCTCACAGAGGTCCCACAGCAAGAGCAGGGCCTCCCTGGGATCCACCCATTCTCGTAAAGGAATCATAGCACACGCAAAGAGTTCAGCTTTCAGCTTGGCTCGTTCCCGCAGCGTTCACTCTCAAATCTCTAGGATCTCCAATAAAGTCCATCCCCAGGAGTCCTCCTCTAAGTCTTTGGAAGACTGGACTGAAGATGACGAGCAATTTCAGAAGCGCAAAAGTGAGTCTTTACTCTCCTTCACCCTCCCCCTGACCCCTCAGCTCTCATTTCCTGGTCCAGATTCCAGACATGACTCAGGCCCTTCTGCAGGTCCTGAGGACTGACCGCGTCTGCAGCACTGGCGGCTCACTCACCCGACTGCTTTTCACTCAACCTTCTGGCCCTTGAATTATGTGCCTGTTCAGGCCACCTGCTGTCTTTCTGTCAGCCTCTGCTTTTTTAAATTCCCATGCTTGCTCCTTGGGAATTTCCTCTTGTCGGATGTGGGTGCCTCTCCTTCCTGGGCTCGGGCAGCACATGAAGATGAATCCTGTCCCCCAGGGGCTCCAGTGCTGAGGTGGTGCTTTACACAACGAATCCCACAACATTCAGGGATGGAGTCCTGGCCTCATATAAGAACAGTTACCATTGTGGAGTCTATTCTAGTCCATTAAACTGTGAACTTCTTGAAGACAGAGCTCAGCATCTGAATAAGAGTCTTATTTGAGAGTGGGGAGGCACTCTGGCTGTTAATGCACAATCCCCCAATCTCCTCGTAGTTCAGTAAACATGGCAACCTCCTCCTGAACAGGCCCACAGGGTGTAGAGAGGTGTGAATGTCTAACTGGACAGGGGCACTTAGGCAGTAGAGGGAGGAGATGTCTCCACAGAATCTGAACGGGAGAGAGGAAGAGTTTACCAAGAGAATGGTGGGAAGGGGTTGGGGTTTCCCATGTATAAATCATCACATGAGAAAAGAAAGGTGAAATGTGTAGGAGCATGAGCCCTCAGGATGTGCTCAAGCAGACCCCAAACCCCCAACATGCTGGCACATGCCATGGAGGGGTCAGGGTGTGCCCGGATAGCAGTGAGTGAATGGCGGATGTGAAGGTGAGCCCCAAGCCAGCTTGGGCAGTGTCTGGGGCCCCCAGGCCTTTGTCTCACATAGACCTCACTTTCTGATTCCCTCGCAGCCATGCTGATGCAGCGGAGTCACAAGAAGCACACTATGGGCTTCTGCTATTGGTTGTGGGAAAAACTAAGCGACCTGTTTCAGGAACTCCGGGCCATTCTCAGAAACCTGACTGAGTCCCTGGCCTTTGAAGTCTTCATCATCCTTATCATCTTCCTCAACACTATCATGCTTGTGGCCCAGACTTTTGCTGAAGTTGAGGTCCGGGGAGGTAAGAACTGGGAATCTCAGTACATGTGGAGAAGGCTGCTGACGTTTCAGATCTCCTGAGGCTCTAGTGCAGGGTGATTTGTGTGATTTGGTTCATTTGCATCTCACCCCTAGGAAGTAAATGACATTGCTTAGCACTAGGGATGAGGTGGGAGGGAGGAGAGAGAAGAGGGGAAGAGAGAAGGAAGAAGAAGGGAAGGAAGGGGAGGGAGGAATAGAGAGCTGAGGTCGACCAGTCAGCCCCAGACAGAAGGCAGGTGTGCTGTTCAAAGTCACGGCCACTGGGTGGCGCCCCTCTTCTAAAGATGCTGCCTTGTGCAGAAAGGACCAGGGAGATTTGGCGGGAGGGCTGCAGAGGCCAGGAGACCCTTGAGGGCCTCGTGGGAGAGGTGAGCCAGGGAGGGCGTCCTGGAAACCCTGGGGAGCAGGGTGAAAGAAAGGCTCCGACATGGGGCACATGAACAAGTAGAGAGAGACCAATGCGCCTTGCAGACCTGCTGCAGGCTGCTTCCTAAGCATTGTGCTGTGACCGGAGCTGGTGCTTGAGACTCCGGATGAGGTGGCCTGTTAGCGTCGTCCTTAGATGCAAAAAGCAGCACGGGGCGGCGGCGGCGGAGCCGGCTCCCCTCAATGGCTGTGCGGGCGCTGTGACTGCGGAGAGGCGCTGAGTGAGTCCCTGTGCCGGCAGAGTGGTACTTCCTGGCCTTGGACTCCATTTTCCTGTGCATCTACCTGATTGAAGCTGTGCTCAAGATCATCGTTCAGGGCTTCAAGTACTTTTTTGACTCCTGGAACAAACTGGGTGGGTGGGTGTGTGCAGGAGCGCACGCGTGAGCAAGAGAACACCTGGGGGCGGAGCAAACGAGGGGCGGAGCAAACGAGGGGCGGAGCAAACGAGGGGCGGAGCAAACGAGGGGCGGAGCAAACGAGGGGCGGAGCAAACGAGGGGCGGAGCAAACG